AACTGATCGCGATAGAGCAGCAGATCGTGCAACCACAGCAATGGCGCAGCAACAGCAGATTGAGCGCCAGCAGGAGTAGATTGCGCGCCTATAGCAGAGGTTCGCGCGCCATCCGCGGATGCAGGTCGTGCGTTTAGCAGCAGCAGCAGATCGCGCCCCGGTAGCAGCAGATCGCGCCCGGTAGCAGCAGAATCGGCGCCAGCAGCAGCAGCAGATTGCGCGCTTAGCAGAAACAGCAGATCGCGCCCTAGTAGCAGTAGAATCGGCGCCAGCAGCATAAGTACATCGTGCGTTCAGCAGCAACAGCAGATCGCGCCCTAGTAGCAGCAGAATCGGCGCCAGCAGCAGCAATAGATCGCACTCCAACAGTCGCAGATCGCGTGCCAGCAGTAACAGCATCTCGATATTGCAGCAGCTTCAGCTCCGCCATGCACATCGACCCATAGCAGCAGCAGAGCCGGGTGCCAGCAGCGGATCTCGCAGCGGCAGCAGCAGATCGCGCATCTGCAGCTGCAGATCTGGCGATAATCGCAGCAGATCGCGTGCTCTAGCAGCGAATCGCGAGCACTGACAGCAGCGAATCGCGCAGCTGCTTCAGCAAATCTCGTAGCAGCAGCATCAAATCGCGAGCACCAGCAGCAGATCGCAGTCCCCAGCGGCGAATCGCGAGCACCAGAGCAGATTGCGAGCACCAGCAGCAGATCGCAAGCAAGGGCAGCAGATCGTGCAGCAACATTAGCAATCTCGTAGCAGAATCAGCAAGTTGCGTGGGAGCAGCGGCAGAACACAGCATAGGCAGCCGATTGCGTGGCACCAGCAGCAGAGCGCGCAAGAACCGTTTTGACTGTGCAGCAACTGCAGGGAACGCACAGCAGGAGTGGCGACAATCTCGCCATATGCGCCAGCAGCAATAAACATCTTCTCCCCGCTACTTGCATACGTCGCGATTTCACCATGCGATTTCGCCAAACGCGTCACTTAAAGGGACATCCAGGTGGCGACCTCGTCAGGCGTATTGGAACGGGGAGCATAGTGTATGAGTTAGTAGGGAAGGGTGCTAAGCTATCTATAGGTGTGCTGTTCTAGATTCAGATCTAGACAAGAATTGGACTAGGTGGCAGGTCTGTGGACCTGCCACCGTATATAGAACAGCTGACTCCTTACTGCATGCACCTTTACAAGTCTTGTCACTAAAATTTGAAATTTGTTTCAATTTTTTTTCATATTTCGGCTGCGCAGGTACTCTGTGAGGACAGGGGTGGTTTTCGATTCTGTCCAGTGGAACCTAGCTGTCTTCGGTGGGTGTGCGGTCTCTCCAGCGGATCAGGAATTCGATCCTTCGAGCTCCTTGTGGGTCACGAACTCTGTGGCTCAGAAATTTCTCGGGTGTGATGATTAGCTCGGTCGGCGGTCGTGTCATGCTGGCTGGGCGATTGCATGGCAATTGGCTTGTGGATGGTACGTAGGGGCGAAACAGGCTGACGTGGAAAGATGGACTGACGTACCAGTCAGCGGGGAGGAGGAGATGGGCGGTGACGGGTGTAATCATGTGGCTGATGCGGAATGGCCCACATTATCGAGGGCGGAGTTTTGGGGTAATGGGCAGGCGGAGGTTCTGGGTGTCGAGTAAAACGAGGTCGTCGGGCTGGTAAGTGACAGGTCGGCGGTGGCGGTCGGCGTTGGGTTTAGCGATGATGTTACCCTGTTGAGCGCTCTGTAATCGATGCACATGCGAAACCCTCCGTCTTTTTCGGCGTGAACAGTATCAGTGCGGCGAACGGTGACGAACTCGGTCGGATGAATTTCTTCTCTAACAGGTAATCCAAATGCTTCCTCAGTTCGTCGAGCTCGGGTTGTGTCAGTCTGAACTGGCGCTGTACGGTTGGCTATGCTCCCGGTTCTAATTCGATTCGATGGTCATGTGCTCGCTGAGGTGGCAGTCCCTCCGGTAAATCGTCGGGAAAAATCCCCGGGTATCATTTCAACAGTTCCTGTGGTTCGGGCGGTACCGCTGCCAGCAGTTTCTTGAAATCACTCGGCTACTCTGCTTCTTCTACCACTGCAATGTCTACTGCGTACACGTCAGCTCCAGCGGTGACAGCGCGTTTCATGGTGATGGTGTTGACGTGTACCGTTGAAGACTCAGGCGACCGCTAGCGAGGTAGTTCGACCCAGTTACCGCTACTTCGCACAGTGCAGCTGCCCGTCGTCCAGTCAACTCGCGGGTTATACCGTCGCAGCCAATCACGTCCCAATAAAATATCGTGCCCATCCAGTGTCGTCGCGAACATTTCCTGTGTAAACCCGAAATTCCCCTCGCAGCGGACTTTGACTCTCTCCACCTTTTCCCGTATGGCCAGTGGCGTGCCGTCAACTAAGCGTGCATCTATCTCTGGTAAACACTGGCTAAGTGTCAGTTGTAGTTTCCATGCGGTTGCGGTATTAACTAAACTGTGACTTGCTCCTCCGTCGATAAAAATCTTCACTACTGCTCCTTGTATTTTCCCGTGGATCAGTACTAGGCAATCCGTCGCTGTACCCTCCGTATTCGTCCGAGCCCGATCGATGGCATGAATCGGTACTATGACTCGGTGAGGGTCGGTGGGGTTGGGCGAGCAGGCAGTCTCGTCAGTAGTTGGCCCGATTCCTACTGACTGCTGGCGTTTCCCTGCCTTGGAGACTCCCTCCTCTGCTCTGCTCCGCGGCGCTTCAGCTCCTCTGGGCACTCATTCTTGCGATGGCCCGGCCTGTTGCAAGCAAAGCAGCGCCCCTTAAATTGCGCGGCAGCTGCATTTGTCGCAACGGCGTGTACGGTGGCGTGCTCGATCGGCCCCCGAGGGCGATGTCCGTAGTAGGACCCCGGTCTCGGACGGCGCAAAATGCCGATTTTCTCGGCGAGCGCGAGAATCTCGTTGAAATTCGAGAGTCCGCGTAGCATGATTTCGTGTGAGATGTCCGGCTTCAGCCCTCCGACGTAACGGTCCACCCGCTCCGCTTCGTGCATGTAGCCGACTTGCTCGCATAATGCGAGAAAACCGCTCGTGTAGTCTTGGACCGACCCGAGCTGCCGCCAAGTACGCAGTTTCTGTCAGAATGCCATCCACTAGACCATTGGGATAAAAGGGTTTGTTAAGTAGCGGGTCAGTGCGCCCATAACCCCCAAGGCCAACGTGCCTGTAACCCTTCCCTAGGTTCAATCGGGGATCACCAGTGGACCTCTGACAGTTTCTGACGCGCCGAAATAGAAGCCGTGATTGGCTCGAAGCGCGCCTGAAGCCCTGCGCACCACGCATCCCACGTGCTGTACTGGGCGGTTTCGCAGAAAGAGCTCCAGGTGACGGCTGGACACGTAGGCCCTTCCTCTTGCGACGGTGGCTCGTAGGCGCGTGGCGACATCACGATGACTCGCCACCAGTCCATGGCGGGGCCTCTCAGCAGCGAGACGGCGTATCTAATCTTCGCTGCGTCCGACTCGACATGATTTGCGTCGAAGAATACGTTCATCGTGAAGACCCATGACTGAACCGTCGGACCTCCACGCTGGCTTGGGTCGAAAAAAGGCGGGCGCTGCGGCTTGAGTGGCATTGGCGCCATGATGGCGTGGTCGTCGCTTGCCGCCGCAAATTCCACGTGCCGACGGGCTTCGCGAGGCTCCCGTGGGCTTGACGAGGCCCTGTTCCTTTCCATGCCAGGCATCGAGTGGGCGGCGCCATCACTGGTTGCGCCTGAGCGTTGTCCCATGATGTCATTCTGTGTCGGTGTGCCTGATGAAATGATGATCGGCTCCTCCGATTGTGTAGGTGCATTTGCAGGTGCGTGTGGTGGCGCCGGAGTATTCACCGTGGATTGCTGACGCGCGGAGTCACGTTCCGCCGTGAGCGTCGCAATTTCGAGCGCCGACTCCTCAACTTTTCGCACGAGACGGTCGAGTTGCTCCTGCGTCAGTGTCGCGAGAGTGAATTCGGCCATGGCGGGGGTGTTGGGCAAACTCAGCGAGAGCCTCTGTCGTGGCCGTGCGTGCTTACGAGAGAGCACTACGAGCGGCGGTGCTGTGTCGCTGAGAGACGTCTACCCCCCTAAAAATTGAGATAGTGGGGAAAAACGAAGGTGTGGGTGCGGTCCGAGAAGAGATCGTAGGCTCTGAATACCAAGTGTTACGAGTGCAATTGAGTGATCGAACGAGAACTGCACTATCGAAGCAAGAGTACAATGAGCGAAGGCATGAGCGAAGAATATATAGCGAACTACAGTGGTAACGGTAATGAACTGTGGGTGACGCGCGACGGGCCTGGAACCGAGGTTTGGGAAAATGTCGAGGCGGAGGCCAGGAGCGCGGGTTACCCGCTGAGCCGTGAGGTCGGGGTGCGACGTGCGAAGGTGGCGGGAGGATTGTCGATGCGAGGGTTGCGAGTGGTAACGGTGCTGACTGTGGTGCTACAGTGGTGTACGCGCTGAGCAGGGGCGCGAAGTAAGGAAAAGGATTTTTTCCTTACAGAAGCATTACAGAAATTCTCCCCTTCCCCCCTTTCCCCCACACAACCCTCCTTCCCTTCAGATTATGGCTCCATTGGCAAATGGAGCCATAATCTTACACCATGTCAAGAACATGATCTTACCCACACCATAGGTCCATTCAAAATCATGTCAACTGCCAGCACCTGTGCTGGTATGCTGGGGATTGCTGTTTCCAGAGTGTTTAGGAAGTGATTCTAGGCCTGGCCTAGGGTGTCAACAACTTGGCAGATGAGTTGAGTGACACTACACTCTGTCTTTACTTCAGTCACACCCTGCTTCTATCACCGTAGATTATTAGGACCACTTGCCATGAGACCAAATAGGAAGGCAACTGATATTTTATAAATATTACAGCATCAGTCTACATACGGTACTCTATAAACCTCCAAACCACAAACCACGGAGCGGAGGGAGGGGGACCAACTTGTTTCAAAACTACTCAGCAGGAAAACGCAAATACCATGCGGTGCACACCTCCTTTGGGACTAAAAGTTGTTGAGCATGCGAGCAAGAAGGTAATTGGGAGTGAGAAGAGAGTGCGGCATGTGCTCTCCTGTGAGCGGAGAGGTACTGTGCGAAGACAGCCAATCAGCAATTCTGCGTCGCTCATAAGTGAATCCATCGGCTGCCACCACAGGATCTGTCATGCGCTCCTGTGACCCAGAAAAAGGGGGGCGGAGGGAGGGTGGGGAGAGGCAAAGTGGAAGAGGAGACCACAGGGTGAGATTGAGCGGAGAGAGGGAGGAGGCAGGAGGCGAGGTCTGCAGAAAGAGAAGAGGAGGATGGACCAGGATGGGAACAGCCAGAACCAGAACCGGATCACCTCATCAACAGCCCACGACCCCACAATCAACACCAACACCACCCCGCCCCTCTACCCCTCTCTCTCCTCACTCTCTCTCACGCCTACCTGTGACAGCGGGCACAGCAGCTGGCCCTCCACCTCCGCAGCCCTCCTTGCCTTCTCCTCGGCAGCCAGCCGAGCCACATCTGCCAGCACGGGGTGCACCACTGTGCGCAGGTCCGGGCGGTGCACTCTCTTGCGCTCCACACACCGCGCTGCCACGCGCACCACTCGCTCCACCAGCCCCAGCGGCCAATGCCCCGCGTTGGGGTCCAGGTTGCTGGTTACCACAGCCAGGACTCGGTTCATGTCCCGGGCTTCCCCGAGGCCGCTGTCGCTGCTGCTGCCGCTGCTGGAGGAGTTGTAGGAGAGACCGGAGAGAGGGGAGAGCGGGGAGGAGGCAGGAGGCCCAAGGGTGGTGCCGCTACCAACTGCACACTCCTCCAGCATGCGATGCAGGTGCTTCACGTTCCGCTTGCCTGTCAGAAGCTGCAGCACAATAAGCCCAAACGCGTAAATATCCGATTTCACTGACAGCTGCCCCGTGCTCAGCTCCTCAGGGTCAATATACCCTGCAGTCCCCCGCACCTTCCACGTCACATGCCCCAGCCCATCATCCCCAGGGATGAGTCTCGCAAGCCCCACATCGGCAATCTTGCTGGTACCATTGGCGTCGAGCAGGATGTTGTCCGGCTTTAAGTCGCGGTGCAGGATGGGCGGGTCGTGCCGGTGCAGGAAGAGGAGAGCTCCGGAGATTTCCGCCGCGATGCGCAGACGATCAGACCATGAGAGAGGGATGACTCGCGGCTTGTCCAGGGCCACCACCGGTGCGCCTCCTCCTCCTCCTGCACCAGCAGCAGCAGCACCACCGGACCCTGCTCCTGCTCCTGCTCCTGCTCCTGCTGCTGCTCCTGCTGTTGCTGCAGCAATTTCAGCTGGTGACGATCCGGCCACGATCCTATGCTGCAGATCCCCACCAGACATGAACTCGTACACGATACAAGCCTCCTCGGGGCACTGCCCCATGAGCAGCACTATATTGGGGTGCCGCACGCGACTCAGCACCTCCACCTCTGTGCGGAATTCCGCCGGCCCCTGCTCGCTCCCAGCCTCTAGCTTTTTTATGGCCACCTCGCACCCGTACAGCTGGCCCCTGAACACCGGACCGAACGCGCCCCGACCCAGCATGTTTGCTTCGGAGAAGCCGTTAGTGGCCTCCCGAAGCTGGTCGAGCGTGAAGCGGCGGCAGTCGGAAGACTCGTCGGGGGGTGCTGCTGCTGACCCTCCTCCGCCCCCTGCTGTCGTGTTGGCTGCAGAGCTGGAGGGGTTGCTGCGAGGGGAGCTGGCTGTGGTGTCAGGCTGCATGCACAAGGAGAGGATGAGATGCAAACAAGGGAGGACAACGGGAAGGCATGAGCAGGAATGCTAGTTCCACCAGCGGGAGGCTGCTGAGGAGGCATTTTCTTTCCTTTTTGGTCACCGAGGTGCCACACTCACAGGAGTTGTTGTCCCAGGTGCAGCAGCAGTAGCAGCAGCTGCAGGGTTGAGACGGCTGGGGACCTTTCCTGGTGCTGCTGTTGCTGCTGCTGCCCTGTCGGCCACCTTGCGGAGAAACTCAGCTGAGTTGAAGGAGGAGCACGTGCTGCTCTCACTCGCCATGCTGTGATGCTCCTGTTGTTGGCGGGGCGAGGGGAGGGGTGTGTGATGGGGGAGAGAAGAGAGAAGAAGTGGGGTGAGGAGAGGAGAGGAGAGGAGAGGAGAGGAGAGGAGAGGAGAGGAGACACTGGGCTGGATAGCAAAGGGGATAGGGCTAAGGGCGAAGGGCTAGGCGTGAAGAGGGGAGGGATCAACGCAACGAGTAGATGGAGCAACACGTGACGATAAGCAACGAGCGGAGGGGAAAAGTAGCAAGCCGGACAGAAGGCACCGACCTGGTCGGGATCATCACAGTAGTCGTCCTCTCCACCCGAAGCAACAGCAGCAGTGGGTCTGACGACCCTGCCGAAGCTGAAGTCATTCCCATCACCATCATCCGAGCCCTGTAGCAGCTCCGACCGTAACCACCGGCCCCCCACGTCGCCCCCTGGGGCCGCCATGGCAGCAGGAGCAGCAGGAGCAGCGGGGGCTGCAAGAGCAGCAAGAGCGGTAGCAGGTGAAGGAGAGAAGGGGCGGCGGGCGAGGGGCGATGGAGATGTGGCAGGGGGAAATGCCTCTGAAGGTGATCGGTCAAACGCATTGCTCGTGACGGGTTTGAGCGGCCCAGATCCAAATGCCTTGTGCTGCTGCTGCTGCTGCCTGTTGTCAGCTTCTATGCGCGCTTTTTCCAGCTCTACCTCCTCCACCATCTCTCGCACCCTCTCTCTCGCCTCCCTCGCTGCCTCCTCTGCTCGTGCAGCCTCCGCCCGTCGCTCCTCCAGCATCCTCTGCAACTCACCCAACCGCACCTCACTCCCTCCTTCCCTCCCTCCCTGCCTGCTCCCACCTCTTCCCACAAGATCAACCCCACCTGTTCCACCTCCTCCACCTCCACCTCCTCCACCTCCCCCTCCGCCTCCCCCGCTCGCCCCCTTGTGCACGAGGCCAAGGATAGGCGCAAGAGAAGCCAATGCGCCTTTTTCTCTGAAAGACACTGCGCGGCGATCCAACGGGGACCGGGGCCTGGACAGCCCGCCTTTCCCCACAACGTTCCACTTCTGCTTGCCCACTGCTGCTGCTGCTGCCCCTGCCCCTGCCCCTCCGCTTCCTCCCCCTGCCCCTTTTTCTCCTCCTCCTCCTCCTGCTGCTGTCTCCTCCCCTCCACCGTCACTGCCACCAGAATTGACACCCTGATGCACAAACTGCAGCTTCTGCTGCTCTTGCTGCTCCTTGTGCCCCCTCTGCTTCAGCACTACACCAGCCAACACACTCAGCACACCCGCTTCACCTCGGCCCTGCGACTCCCTCTCCCCAGCTCCCTCCTCTCCTTCCTCCCCTCCGTCCTCCCCTCCTCTCTCCCCACTACCCTCTCCTCCCTCCCCTCCCTTTTGTGCTTCCCTCGAGTGCTCCCCCCGTCCACCTGCCTGCCCCTGCTGCTGCTCTGTCACTGACACCACCCGTCTCAGGTTGCGGGCGCGCAGATCACCAGAAGCAGCAGCAGCAGCCATTGCCTTCTGTACAACCATCTCTGTCGGGAAATTCTGTGACGCCTCCTCCCCACCTCCCTCACCCTCTTGCTCTCCCCACACGTTCCCCCCTTCGCCTCTCCTCCCTCTTCTGCCTCCAACTTCCTCCCACCTGTGTGACCCTTCCACCCCTGTGCCTGCCTCTGCTGCTGCTGCTTCTGCTGCTGCTCCTCCTGCTGCTCCGCCTGCTCCTGCTGCTGCATCAGAGTCAGCAGCAACGTCTTGTGTCTGCCCTCTCTCCACGTATCCCCCCATTGCGCTACCCATCTGTCCCTTACTGTGCGAGCCGAAGATTTGGGCAGTACCAGAGATGGCAGCAGCAGCTTCTGCTAGCGGATCCCACCCGTCACTGCCACTGCCACTATCATTGCCACTGCCAGTCCCATTGTCAATGGCACGGCCATTCCCACTGCCATCCTGACTGCCAGTGCCACCCGCATATTCTGGAATATCTGCTTTCAAACTGCTGCTACGCAGGCTTCGCCCTCTGCTGTTGTTCATCCCAGCAGCATCCTCCCCACGATCACCACGGACACCCACGCTGCTGCCGCCACTACTGCCGGCAACACCACCTGAAGCGGCAGCAGCAGCAGCAAAAGAAGCAGCAGCAGTGGCACCGACAGGGCCAGGGCCAGCAGCAGTGAGAAGAGAGGCGGCATCAAAGGAACCGAGGGAGGGGAAGCGGCGGCGGGATTGGAATCGCTCCTTGGGCCCCCACACACCCTCCACCTCCAACTCCCTCGGAGTTAGCTCACCACTCACCGTACTTCTCACCCCCTCCTCCCCTCTCCTTCCCTCGCCCTCCCAGAGGCCCCTTTCTCCTCCTACTCCTCCGTGTCGCTGGAACGTTCTTTCTGTCACGAGCCCTGCTGCAGCAGTGATATCGCCTGCATGAGCACAAGAGGCGGCTGCACCTGCGACAACAGTTCCCGGAGCAGCAGCAGCAGCAGCAGCAGCAGCAGCAGCAGCAGCAGCAGCAGCAGCAGCAGCAGGGCCGGCGGTGGGTGCAGCATTGGCAGCAGCAAGCTGCATGGCCCTCTTGCCTCGACTCAACGTGCGCGAGTTGACAAGCATGCGCGACTGCGGTATACCTGCTGCTGCTGCTGCTGCTGCTGAACCACCACCAGCATTACCACCATCATCAACAGCAGCAGCAGCAGCAGCACCACCACCAGGCGAGGTAGACGCACTAGATCCACCAAAGGACCCCCCGCGGCTGAACTCCCGAGCATGGCCGGGAGTGGAGAGCGGTGAGGAGGAGGAGAAGGGGGACGGGGGAACAGACGGGCTCCAGGGAGAGGACGGCCAGAGGGCATAAGGCGAGGTGGGCGTGGTGGCGGAGAGAGGAGGGGGAGAGGGTGGGGGCCCGGATGGCACGGAGACAGAGAAATGCGGATAGGTGGGGACGGTTGGTGGGCGGGAGGGCAGCTGCTGGTTGCTGCCGGTAGTAGTGCTGGTGGAGCTGTGGGAACGGGAGAAGCCAGAGACGGGGTGTGCCGAAGGGAGATCTGCAAAGGAGAGCAGGCTGGAGCTGCCTGCTGCAGTAGCATCGGCGGCAGCGGTGGCGGCAGCGGCAGCAAAGGCAGCAGCAGAAGCATTCACCTTTCGTCCTGAGGCCCCTGAAGGGGTGGTGCCGGCAGGAGGAGAGAAGGGAGGAGAGGAGGAGGCAGTGGCATGGCTTGCGGTGGGGGAGGGGAGAGTAAGATTCAGACGGGCGTGCATGGGATGAGGCGCGGCAGTAGCAGCGGTGTGTGGCAGGCCAGGGGAGGACGAGGAGAGGGGGCAACTGTTGGTGGCTACATGCATAGTGCTGTCATGGTCGCAGCTGCCAGCAGGGAAAGCAGCAGTGGCAGCAGCAGCAGTGGGATGAGCAGCAAAAGAAGCAGCAACTGCGGATCCAAGCCTGGTGTGGCGAGCAGAGGGGTCCACGTCAGAGTCAAACAAGTCAACCGAGGCGAGCACTCCACTGGATGGTGCAGACCTGGTAGTGCCCGTGCCCGAACCAGCAGCGCCTCGTTCCGCTGCCGCTCTTGACCCTGCTGCTGCTGCGGCTGAAGAGGCAGTAGCAGTAGCTGTTGTTGCTGATGCTGCTGCTGCAGTGGAAGGTGCGGAGGAGGAAGCAGTCGCTTTCCGGTGGGGGAACACAAAGCCAGCCATTCTGGATGCTGTGAAGTGTGAGGCACGCTTGCCCGATGCTGACACGGCTGCCGATGGGGAGTGCACCTGCTCAGAGATTGCTGAAACACCTGAAGCACTTGAAACACCTGAAACACCTGAAACACCTGAAGCAGCAGCAACACTGGTTCCGCCACCACTGCTGAAACCACGAGCAGCAGCATGATCACTCCTGGCCGTCAAATGGCCCATTCCATCCGTGCACCCTCCGCCCTCTCCCCCTTCCACTAACTCACCCGAGCCTGCAGGCTCGGGTACAGTCAGACCTGCAGGCTTGGGCGAAGTGAAACTAGCAGGCTCAGCCGGTGGGGAGAAGGCAGCAGGGTGCAGACGAAATTCATCGCTGCACGCTGCGGCTGCGTGGGCTTGCTTGTGGGGGGAGAGGGGCACAGAGCGAGGGTCGGAGAGGGAGAGAGTGCGGTGGGAGGAGGCGACGAGGTGCTTCATCTTCCTGCTGCCCTGCTGTAGCACTATGATGTGCAGCCCGGGGGGGAGGTGCGATGCACAGTGCGACACCACTGCCGCCTCGCCTGACCCCCATAGCTGCCGCCTGCGGGTGAGGAAGGGGGAGGGGGAGGTGGGGGTGAGGGAGGAAAGACAAGCGGGCCTGGAGAGAACAGTGCTGAAAAAGCGGCTGTTCTGAGTGCGTGTATGTGTGCGGGCGTGTGCGTGCGTGTGTGCGCGCGTGTGCGTGCGTGTGTGCGTGCGTGCGTGCGTGTGCGTGCGTGTGTGCGTGCGTGTGCGTGCGTGTGTGCGTGTGAGTCTCAAGATGGGTGACATGGGGTTGACATAAGCGGGGAAAGGACCCACGAGGAGAATGAGGGAGGAAGATTATTGAGAAAGGAGATTCCCGAGGGGAGGAGTGGGAAGGCAGGAGGCAGAAAGCTCACTTGCGCAAGCCAATGAAGAGGCAGGTGGCGTGGAATCGCCTCACTGCCATGCACAGTCCCCGCTCCCTGCTCTCACTCCTCTCCATGTGCGCTAAGGCCTTCACCTGCCATTGCCCATTAACACGAAGTAAAACACGAAGTAGATATTTTTGTTTTTAGCACCAACCATTCCAGCTGCTTTACACTCCCAACAATTTGTTACGACATGCCCATCTCTAGGTCGCCTGTAACACAGGTATGCGACAGGGGACTACAATTTTCAAAGCATTTAGGAGCAGGCATGTGGATAAGATGATTGAGATCGGGATGACGAGGAAGAATCTCGCCGATCGCGAAGCACCCAAACCTAACCAATTCCCATTGTTCTCATTCCCCTCTCCTCCCACCAAACGCCCTTCCCCACTCCCAACGCTTTACACTCGCGCACCTTTCGCGACCATGTCAGTTGCAGCGCCGCCTGGAGCGCAGCCCGTATTCGCGCCTCTTCCGCGTTGTCTTCCGCCCCCCCGCCAGACAGCGCGCTGGTCGGCGCTTCATCTGCGAACGTGGAGGGATAATACGGACGTAGAATTAGAGAATGGAGGAATAGGTTACGAAATAGGTTACGAGAATGGAGAATGGAGAATGGCGCGACGGTAAAATCAGCGTCGCCGCATGGCTGAATGAATCTGCCGCCTGTGGAGTGGACAATGGGATTGTAGCAATACCTCTCCTCTCGCATAAACGACTCGTCGGACGTTTGCGGCGGTTCAGGCTCGAGCGAAATCCGTTACATTTCTCGTCGGACGTGCTGTTACAGCTCACCGTTTTAATCGGCGTCGTAAACGGGACGCGAAAGATTGGGACCTGTTTGGAACGGCACGTCTTTCGCTTGGTGATTGACCGTTACGACTGGATATCGCGAATACTGGGAAAGTTTGGAAGTTTAAGAATGATCAAAAGTAATTACACACATATCGAAAACGCCCAAGAAAATCGTGAGAAAACGATGGCTGACGACCGTCGCGGGCCCGCCGTTCACTGCTCCGCGCAGTACGCTGACCGATGCCTTACCGGCTTATCGGCTTAACGGACCACATTAACGAACATGATTACGTTTAATAGCTGTGGGGGTTCGTCAGTCGAGACAGGGTCAATTGCGAACACTCATCAACCGTACGAAATCCAGAAAAAAAGAAACGAAAAGAAAAGAAAAACGTAGAAACCCTGCCTTCGCCACCTCCGGCGAAATGGTTTCCAGATCGAACACCGTCGCATCAGTCCATCCACATCGGCATAAGCGCATGAGAGCATGGTTGGACGATCACGTCCATCCCGAAGCGCCCTCGGAAAGACACGGCTTGGCCAGGACGCGTCGCGCTCCGAGGTGGCATTTTCATGGAGACGAACGGTTGGAGATTCATCGAAAAAGGGGAAAGGGGAAGAGGAGGGGGGAGAGGGGGGGAAGAGGAGAGTGGAAGAGGTGGAGATTCTGAGGGATTGTAGTGCCTACCAGACGTATAGGATTCAAGTGAACGTGAGTCTCCCGAGGCGACAGAGCACAGGATCAGCGTAACTGCCCCCCCCTGCCCACCGCCGGCCTCTGAATCACCGGCGCTTCCACCGCTGACACTGCTGCCACTGCTACTGCTGCTGCTACTATTACTACTGCTGCTACAATTACTACTGCTGCTGCTATCGCCGCTGCATCCGCCGCCACTCGCGTTCAAGCTAGAGCCACTGGTAGCGGCGCCAGAGACGTATTGCTCCGCGTGAGTGACGGCAGCGCGCACAGTCTCCTCAGCCAACTCGCGATTCCTGCAAACCTCCACCACCCACACCACGCTCGGCCACGCGCTCACAGGCCCCATCCCTGCGCGGGGTACCAGGGCCGGGAGTGGAGCAGCGCAGGATAGCGAATCGCGAGTCGCGAGAAGGACAAAGTACGAATCTTGCGGAGTTTTCAGACCCCGTAACGGTCGCGGAGTTAGATTTGTGACTCAACGGGGACGCATGGGTGAGCTGGCAGGTAGAGGAGAGGTGAAGGAGCTCTGCGACATGGGCCTGGATGGATGGTGATAAAAAAGCGATTCGACAGGTGGGATTTCTCGAACTCGACAACTCGAACAGAATGATAACAAATCATTGAGTCCTTGACGATTGATGATTGAGAAGCTTTTCCAGATCAGGGACAAACCATGAAGGACGATGCAAGGCTTCCAACCTGGAACTCAGGAGCTTGGCTAGCACATCCCGCGCTGTGAGGAGCAGGATGCAGTTGTGTTGCAAAAAGCGCATACTCTGTCAAATGATTCGACAATTTAGAATGCTCGTTAGTTGACGGGTTGTGGTTGTGACTTTCGGTTTTGAGAGTGCTGGTGGTTGGGTTGGTTTTCCATCCACAGATCTATTCGATAATCTATATTCCATATGACCTTACTCAACCGCACTTAACTGGACTTTTGTGCATACGCACTTCACCTTTTGAAGCAGCCAACAGCCCACCACAACAACACCTGCAGCGGCTGCAGCAGGAGCTGTGGTAGGAGCAGCAGCAGCCAGCCATCAATCAGGATTCAGGACAGTGGTGGCGCCTCGAACGAGTCACCTTGTCTCGTTGTCGTTTTGCTATGGTCGTCTGTTGACCGAAGCCACACTCTGGTCTCGTTTCTTTCGGACACCTTGTTTGACTTTATGGGCTTGATAGAAACACATTAAACCCTCAAATCGATGACTATAGGCACACTAGATTATGTTATTTCAGTGTAACTGAGCTACCACGCTGGGAAAAGTGTGAAGTGCGACCACCATAAGGAACTCTGGACGAGTTCTGCACATATATTAGAGGAGAAAATACCACTCTAGAATTTCACGTACAGTAACTGAAACCCACAAAAACAGACAACGTGACCACAAAAACCAAATGCAGGTGTCCATTGTAGTTGGCTGGCAGCCCAGCACAACGGGCTCAAGGCCTCGAGGCGGCCTACCTTGTTTACCCTGCTATTCAGAGGGAAGTTTCCCGCTTCCCTGCGGAAGTGGGTGTCTTCTGAACCAGGACTTCTAGGTTTTAGGGATTTACAAACGTCACCCACTACAACTTTTACTCCACGAACACTATCACAACACACGACAATAAGGAATGGTGCGAAAAAAGGGAGGGGGTGTCGTGTGTGGTTGATGTTGGGGGCGTCGGGTGAGACTGAAGTTCTGCAGACTGAAAATGCTTGTTTGTATAGGGGGTCGTTCAACTCCCCCAAGAGAGCGAACTTTTATGGTGATGTGGTTTGGTGATGCGTGACGAAACAGCACACCATCACAGAAAACAGCAGAGTTCCACCATTTAATGTTTCAAACGTAAGGTCTGGTTTGACTCTACAACACCATCAGCAGGTGCCTTTGGCGTGGCGTTTCTGCCACCGCGCAAACCGCAATTCAGTTACATGGATTCAGTTTTACATGAATCTAGTGACATGAATTCACACTTCGACAGAGATGGAGGGTGCCTGACAAATTCATTTCCGCCCGAAAAATGTGAGACTGTTCACGAAAGCCTGCTAGTCGAGATTGCTTGACAAAAGATTCGGCGTATTTTGACATCGAACTGCACTCTGTTATCGCTATTGGGAACTCCGTTATCAAATGTATCCGTCTGTAGAAACTTACTACAGATAGCACATCGCAATTACACTAGCCTGGCGTTTGCGTTTGATGTTTGCGTATTCTAGAGTCTGAGATGAACCTGGTGGTTAAATGGTTAGGTCTTCACAAAAAACACGCACGTGAGGTGGGAGGGAGGGACTCCGGTTGACTTGCGATTTGGGGTGAGGTGCATCTGACGTTGCTGTCAGAACATTATAGCTCATGCATATTGTGTAGGCTATAGTGGGGTAGCCCATAAGGGGTACAACCCAATTAGGGTTAGTACTTGTACCCAATTCATTCATAGTTCATTCATTCCTTGTTTCTTCTCATGGTATCGAGCAGGTTCCCTAGTGGGAACGCTTCCTAGGGCCCACCACGAATTTTTTTTTTCCTGCCCGGAGCGCGCTTCGCTCCCACAGTCGCGCCCTCTCACGGCCCCTCGCGTCGCCCTTAGCGGCCCCTTACGGCCCCTCGCGCCGTCCCTTACGGCCCCTAGCGCGGCCCCTTACGGCCCCTTACGGCCCCTAGCGCGGCCCGTCGGCCCCTTACGGCCCCTTACGGCCCCTCGCGCGGCTCCTTACGGCCCCTTACGGCCCCTTACGGCCCCTTGCGCGGCCCCTTACGGCCCCTCGCGCGGCCCCTTACGGCCCCTCGCGCCGCCCGTCGGCCCCTTACGGCCCCTTACGGCCCCTTACGGCCCCTCGCGCCGCCCGTCGGCCCCTCGCACCGCTCTCAGCGGCCCCTTACGGCCCCCTACGGCCCGTCGCCGCCCTCCGCGGCCCCTCGCGCCGCCCCTTCACGTCCCGTCGCCGCCCTCCGCGGCCCCTCGCGCCGCCCCTACCGCAGCGGCCGCCGCCGTCACTGCAGCAGCAGCCGCAGCCGTCGCCAGCAGCAGCCGCCACCACCTCCCTCGGGGCCGCGGCTGCTGCCGCAGCTGACTGCACCCGCCGACGCCGCTCCACTCGGCCCCGCCGCCGCTCCCCACGCGGCCTCGCCGCGCCACCTGAGCCGCCCGGGCCTGCCGAGCCGCCGTACCGCCCGAGCCGCCGCACCGCCCGAGCCGCCCGAGCCGCCGTGTCGCCGAGCCGCACTTGCTGCCGAGCCGCCGTACCGCCGAGCCGCCCGAGCCGCCCGAGCCGCCGAGTTGCCGAGCCGCCGAGCAGCTGAGCCACCCGAGTCGCCCTGTCCGGTAAGTGCAGCGCCTCTGTCCCTGCACTGCCCTCACCCTACTGTTAGCGCTGCTAGTCTACTGCTGTCATGGCTACCCCTAGTGTCCTCGCCTTTGACGCTGAGGGTCGGGCCATTGACTTTGACGTCTGGGTAGATGACCTGCAGCTTTTCCTACAGTGCGATAGGGCAGACGGTCTCTCCCTCTTTGACCTCACCTCTGGTGCCTCTCCTGCCCCTGCTGCTGATGCCGACGCCACTGTTCGCTCCCAGTGGGCCACTCGCGATGCTGCTGCACGTCTTGCTGTGCGTCGCCACCTGCCTACCTCTGAGCGTGCGCACTTTAGCCAGTACAAGAGTGCTCAGACCTTGTACGACGCTGTAGTTGCGCGCTACTCCTCCCCTGCCACTGCTGCACTGAGCCGCCTCATGCTACCGTACCTCTTCCCTGACCTTGCTGCCTTTCCCACAGTCGCTGACCTCATTACGCACCTCCGCACTAGTGACACTCGCTACCGCGCTGCGCTTCCTGCTGAGTTCTGCGCCAAGAACCCCCCCCCCATGTACATCACCCTCTACTACATAGTCACCCGGCTCCCTGACTCCTTTCGAGTGGTCAGGGACCACTTCCTCTCCGTTTGCCCCACCACTCTCACCGTTGACCTCCTCGAGAAGTCCCTCCTAGCAGCAGAGAAGAGCATAGTCGCTGTAGGAGCCTCTCGTGGTGACCCTCGCACCCCCATCTTTGAGGGGTGTTCCCCCTCCCCCCTTTTGCCCTCTGTTGCCTCTGCTGCTGCGGCCGACCTCGTTGGGCTTGAGTCGGTCGGTGCGGCGTCTACCCCTAGCGGGAGACGTCGCCCTGGCAAGGGCAAGGGGGGCAGGGGCACTGGAGGAGCTAGCGGGGGCGGTGGAGGCGGCGGTGGAGGCGGTGGAGGGGGTGGGGGTGGCGGTGGGAGTGGTGGCGGGGGTGGAGGTGTCGGTGGCGGCAGTGGAGGCGGAGGCGGCGGTGGCGGTGGCGGTGGGAGCGGAGGTGGCGGCGGTGGAGGAGGAGGCGGCGGAGGAGGTGGAGCTGGTCGGGGTGGCGCTGCACAGAGGGGCGGCTCCGGTGGTGGTCAGCGCCAGCAGCAGCAGCAGCAGCAGCAGCGCACTCGTGACATCCCCTCCCCTCAGCAGCTCCGTGAGTGGTACACTGCACGCCAGAGGGGTGGGGGTACTGGCCCGTGCACCTACGTCCTACGCACCGGCGACCGCGCGGGTGAGCAGTGCGGGGGTGCACACTCCACCCAGCGCTGCTTTGGCCGCCTGACGGACGCTTGGCGTCACCAGTTCCCTGAGGCCACTGAGATCCCCCGCTGGGGTGAGCTGTCTAGGGCGGGTGTAGCTGTCTTTGACCTTGACTTTGATGCTATTCTTGCTGCCATGTATACTGTGACTATTAGTGATGAGGGTGACTGTTACCGGTGTTTTCCGCCCGACCCGGGCATTGAGACTGCTGCTCTAGGTACTGGTGAGGCTGCTGCTCTAGGTGCTAGCGAGGCTGCTGCTCTAGGTGCGTCTGCTCCCTCAGGTGCTGGTGAGTCTGCTCTCTCAGGTTCTGCGTCGGCTTCGGCCTCCCACACCTTCACCCTTGACTCGGGGGCTTCTCGCTCCTTCTTTCGAGACCGCACCACACTCACGCCGCTTGGCCGGCCAGTTGCAGTCTCTCTGGCAGACCCCTCTGGGGGTCCTGTCCTTGCTCACTTCTCCACTGTCCTCCCGTGTCCGGCGGCCCCCTCTGGCACCCTGTCTGGTCTTTACCTTCCCTCGTTCTCTACGAACTTGGTGAGTGGTGCTGACCTACAGGATGCGGGGGTTCACCAGTTCACTCCTGCGAGTCAGTGGGTGACCCACTGCACGGACGCTCGGACAGGCCGACACCTGGCCACGTTTACCCGTCGGCCGGGGTCGAGCCTGTACACCCTGACCACTGAGTCTCCTCCAGTCACTGCGTCTGGTCAGGTAGCTGCGTCGGGTCAGGTGTTTGCTGCAGCGTCCAGGTCTGGTCCTGAGTCTGCCCCCTGT